GGGACCGACTGTACCACACACTTACAATCATTAAAATATTCTGGTTTGGATTAACTCAACCAAAGACCACCCCATTCTCCAAGCAATTCAAAACACTTGTGTATCCTTGTAGCCCAGCAGCAAAGGTGGGGAAGCAGCAGGGGGGCCAGTCCTGAGGACACTGTAAGACCCACCAGGATTTCACTGACTGACTCTTTCTCCTTGCCTATAACATTTACTGATGCAATTCTTATTTGAAGGACCCTCTCCTTCCGTATGTCCTTGTGTGCCAACTACGGTCGTCAGGCGGCCTTCTGTCGGCTATCCCATCATTTAGGGTGGCCTGTTGGCATTGGCCAGAGCCCAGATCTTTTCCATCTTGGCTCCGCCTCTGTGGAATAGGGTCTCTGAAGAGCTGAGGGGGGTCCGCCTCCTTGGACATCTTCAGGAGGTGCTGCAAGGCCTGCCTGTTTGCCGTGGCTTTTGAGGAGGGGTTGAATGGCAGGCATCTTTTAAGGGGGAGAGGAACAGGGAGAAATTTGGGGTTGGTGATTTTTTTAAACTATTATTGTAAGCTGCTGGAACCACAAGGGAAGAAGAAGAAGAGGAGGAGGAGGAGGAGGAGGAGATTGGATTTATACCTCAACCTTCATTTGGAGTCCACAAGGAAAGAAGAAGAGGAGGAGGAGGAGGAGGAGGAGGAGGAGATTGGATTTATACCCCAACCTTCATTTGGAGTCCACAAGGGGAGAAGAAGAAGAAGAGGAGGAGGAGGAGGAGGAGGAGATTGGATTTATACCCCAACCTTCACTTGGAGTCCACGAGGGAAGAAGAAGAGAAGGAGGAGGAGGAGATTGGATTTATACCCCAACCTTCACTTGGAGTTTCAGAGCAGCTTACAATCGCCTTTCCCTTCCCCTCCCCACAACAGACACCCTGTGGGGCTGAGAGAGCTCTTTTGAGAACTGCTCTTGAGAGAATAGCTCTGAAATAACTTGTGACTGACCCAAGGTTACACCAGCAGCTGCATGTGGAGGAGTGGGGAAATCAAACCTGGTTCTCCCGGATTAGAGTCTGCGGTCTTAACCACTACACCAAACTGGCAGGACATAAATGTTTTAATAAAGAAATAAATAAAAAAAATTGCTGTCCAAGCCTGCTGACTCATCAAATTATTTGAAATAAATAAAGAATACAGCTCCAGACTACTTTTGGGAGGTGGGATGGAGGTTGCTGGCGCTGAGAGTTGAGGCGGGTGCCTCTGTTGGCTTGCCAAACACAGAGCTTATAGGCGTGAGCTGCCTGCTGCTGGCTTAACGGAGATGACCTTCCCTTCCCCAAGGGAACTGACACCACACTAAGATATGCTCACTGGCTAAACAAGGCAGGACTGGCTTTCTTTTAAGGTCTCTCACCCAGGTCCTGGCCATGTGCACGTTCATTCCCTTGCACATAAAGCAAGGAATACCCAAAGTACATGACTCTTGTTCCAGGCGGACACTGGGGCTCTTCTGTGGTTTGGCTGTGCCGAGTCACAAGGAAGCCGTGAGCTACGGAAGGAGCGCCTGGTGCACCCATCGGCCCCGGCACGCCTTCTGGGCCAGGTGGACCAGGAAAACCTCTGGGGCCTGTAAGACAGCAAGCGTATTTCTAAAATGAGTCGACAGGATCAATAAAGTATTAGCTCTCAGACACAGTTGTTGTATATTAGGTAAAGGTTCCCTTGCTCGAAAGCCAGTCGAATCCGACTCTAGGGTTGCGGTGCTCATCTCCGTTTCAAAGCCGAAGAGCCAGCGCTGTCCGAAGATGTTTCCGTGGTCATGTGGCCGGCATGACTAAACACCAAGGCGCAAGGAACGCTGTTACCTTCCCACCGAAGTGGTACCTATTTATCTACTTGCCATTTCTTGCTTTCGAACTGCTAGGTTGGCAGGAGCTGGGGCCAGAGACGGGAGCTCACTCCGTCATGCGGCACACTCGGGTCTCGAACTGCTGAACTACTGACCTTCCACAGCCTACAGTTCAGCGTCTTAACCACTTGAGCCACCGCAGCTCCTTGTTGTATATTACTGCACAGGATATTTCATATACTTAAGCAAATAAGTATTTGTACCCCACCCTTCACTACTCGAAGGAGTCTCAGAGTGGCTTACAATCTCCTTTCCGTTTCCCTCCCCACAACAGACACCCTGTGAGGTAGGTGGGGCTGAGAGAGCTCTTTCGAGAACTGCTTGTGAGAGAGAATATCTCTGAGAGAACTTGTGACTGCCCCAAGGTCACACCAGCAGCTGCATGTGAAGGAGTGGAGAATGAAACCCGGTTCTCCCAGATTAGAGTCTGCACTCCTAACCACTACACCAAACTGGCTTTCTACATTATTAATAGATTATATATGTTCTTTTTACACTAACAAATAAAGGGTTGTTTTCAGTTTATCAAGGTCTTTGTTAAGCTTCAAGGCAATAATGAATGCAAAGCCTTTTCATTTCCCTAAAGACAGGATAGCTAATCCTTTCTCCCCAGGCAAGTTCTAACCGACAGCAGTATCTGAACTTTTACATCAAATTACAGGAATCTGAACATTTCGGTTGGATTTGAACACATCAGCATTTTCACACAGATCTATGACACAAAACTGACGCGCACAAATCACTCTGTCCTTCATCTGTACATCGACAGCTTGGCAGTGACAATCAGGCAGTACAACTGCTGGTGCTGTCCCTGTAGTTGTCCCTGCACAACTCATGGGGCAACAGGCTGTCCCTAAGAATCATCTGGAGATTCCAAATATCTTGCAACAGCCCCTTGCCAATTTAAAATAGCAACAGGAACAGCTCTAGCTGTAGTGGAGAAAACATGGAAACACCCTTTTTGTCAGGTGCTCCCAAGATCTTGAAGAAAAAGTCAGTCGCTTGGAAGATTCCAAATGTCTTAACTCTTACAGACATTTCTGTAAGTGTTCAGGCTAGGGTTGGATAAAGACTGAATTGGCAATTTCTACCGATTTCCCCTTCCTGCCTCAGACACAGTCCTGTTGTTCTTTGGGGTTCCCCATCCCACAGAGCAACATTTTGTGGAGGTCCACAGGTTGCGCTGGGAGACAGGAAACTTCCGTTCCACCTCTGGACAAGTCTGGATCCAGTCCCTACATCTGGCAACCAACTTCTTACTAAACGGTAGGGGACTGAGAAATACCTTTCCTACAGAATATGGTTCTTCCCAGAAACAGAGGAAGGCTACCTGGGCTTACCTGTGGGGCCAGCAGGACCAGATTCTCCTTTCTGACCGGGGCTGCCATCAAATCCTGGGATCCCGGGGGGACCAGGCACCCCCACGGATCCTGTTACACCTGTTAAAAACAAATACATGTTATTTGGACCGATTAATGGAATTATTCTATTTGGAATATGGCATAGAACTGGTGACATGGCCTCCCTTTGAGAAAAACCAGAGTTCCCCTTCCTGGGGGAGTTGATGTGAGATGCACAAATTCTTTCACAATTCAGAAGAAGATGAGATTGAATTTATACCCCACCCTTCACTTGGAGTCTCAGAGCAGTTTACAAACTCCTTCCCCTTCCCCTCCCCACAACAGGCACCCTGCGAGGTAGGTGGGGCTGAGAGAGAGCTTTCGAGGACTGCCCTTGAGAGAACAGCTCTGAAAGAACTTATGACTGACCCAAGGTCACATCAGCAGCTGCAAGTGGAGGAGTGGGGAATCAAACCTGGTTCTCCCAGATTAGAGTCTGTGCACTTAACCAGTACATCAAACCACTACACCAAATTCACTGGATAATCTTACTGTAATGGGGACTACTGTATTGGGAATGGAAGAAATACTTAAGCTTGCATTTTTAAAATGTTGTCGATTGCTATGAGGCAGTAGGAAAAGAGGAAGACCCAACATGAGATGGATGGACTCGATAAAGCAAGCCACGGCCTTCAGTTTGCAAGACCCGAGCAAGGCTGTTAACAATAGGACATTTTGGCCCCGGTCACACGAAAGGTTTTGGGCCAGGAGAGGGACGAATCGGGGGCGCAGCAAACGGGCGCGATCCCACCGCAACATCTGGGAAACGTTGCGCACCCGTCCCCGATCCGGCCTTTCAGGCCGAAAAGCCGCATCTAAAATAAACCACCTACGGAGGTGGACTTACCAGCACGGCCGCATCAAGCGCGGCCGTGGGATCGCCGGCGCGTCCTTCTGCCAGCGCATCCAAGACCCCTGGCCGAACTGTGCATGCTCACACATGCGCACTTTGCCCGCGCTCCCCCCCACCGTGTGGCAGGGACCTTTGGAGGTCATTAATTCACAACTAGGGTTGGCAGCTCCAGTTGGGAAACAGCTGGAGATTTTAGGGGTGGAGCCTGAGGAAGGCGGGGTTTGGGGAGAGGAGGGACTTCAGTGGGGTCGAATGCCACACCACAGAGTCCACCTTCCAAAGTGGCCACTTTCTCCTGGGGAACTGATCTCTGCCGCCTGGAGATCAGCGGTAATCCTAGCAGCTGCAGGGAATGTATTTTTAAAAAATAAAGGAAGAGCCCAAAAGGGCTCAGAATGCCACCGCCGGAGGGAAGGGCTCCTGCCTTCCACCCCAAGCCATTTCCCTGCACTGAAACAAAGCTGCGGGGAGTTATTCCCCCATCTTTGCTGCTTCATGTGCCTCAGCAGCATTCCAAACCCATTGTGGCTCTCCTTTATTTTTAAAAAGCCATTCCCCACAGTTAAATCCCTGGCATCTTCAGTCAAAACGTAGCATAGCAAGCGGTGCGACAGAGCTCTACCTGAGACCCTGGAGAGCTGCTGCCATTCAGAGGAGACAGACCTGACCTTGGTAGACCGAGGTTCTGACTCCAGATTGGAGCAGCGTTTGCCATCTCGCCTGAGCCAAGTCAATGGACCGACACACAGAAGCTACACACCGGATGGTTCACGGGCACCATTCTTTTGCCATCTAGAGGCATTCATAGAGTACCTCACCTTGTTGCCCTTTTGGGCCTGGAGGACCACTAAATCCTTTGGGCCCAACTGGACCTTGAGGACCTGGTAAACCCGGTTCTCCTTTCAGAAGCTGAGCGGGACCCGGAGGACCTGGTGGGCCCGGGAAACCTGTCAGAACGAAAGAGGTAAACAACTAGAGAAAATAGTTATGGATGCAGAACGGCAGTCAAAGCCCATTTGACATATACGCTAGATCAACAACCAATGGAGTGCATGTGGGGGATGACTCTACTCTGAATTAGGATTATTCCCACTCCGTCAGGGACCCTTCTTGCAAAATAATAGCGTGCCCCAGAGGTTGGGGAACCATGTGGCACGGAGAACATGACCAGCGTCAAAGATTAAAACTTTTATTAATAATAATAAAAAGGAAAAGTTCACAAGCATACTTCAGCAGCACAGAACAGCAAATGGAAACAAGAGAAACTGGGAATAAACGCAGTCCTTCTGCCCCTGTTCTAAACCACATGCCTCAACCTAGATGTTAACGTGAGGCAGGGTGGCAGAGGCCCCTTGAGATGGGACATATAAACATTGGCATTCAGTAGATTTCAACCAGAGCTGTTTTCCTGTTCCCTAACGGTTTTTAAAATAGCCCAAGTTTACAAGGTCCTGCCATACCTTTAGCACCAGGAGTCCCTTGATCTCCTTGTTCACCTTTGAGTCCGGAGAAGCCCGAAGAACCTTTTGGACCTGAAGAAGGAGGACATCTTCAATCACCTACCCCTTTTTTAAATATATATATATATTCCACCCTACTTACCTTCCTGTCCCAATACTAAATAGTTAAGCCACAAGCAGATCCCAAATGTACTTCTAACCATGTCCCAACCATGTACTTCCAACCAGATCCCAAATGTACTTCCAACCAATAGTCATCATATGACTATTCAGGGATGAACTTACCAGGAACTTTGCCTCTTACCGCCTGCTCTCCTGAGGGCCATCAACAGCCAGGAGCAAGCTGAACTCGCTGAGGCTGGTAGCTCCACAGGGGCTGCTTGGGTTTGACCCAGCCAAAGGCAACATGGCAGAGCTGGCCAGTGGGACGGAATGCAGTGACCCCCATGGGGCTCTCAGCTTGTTTCTGGGCTGCTTTAAGGTTCTGATCCAGCCCGCTGAATATCAACATAAGGCCACAAGAGAAGCCATGTTGGGTCAGGCCAATGGCCCATCCAGTCCAACACTCTGTGTCACACAGTGGCCAAAACCCAGGTGCCATCAGGAGGTCCACCAACGGGGCCAGAACTCCAGAATCCCTCCCACTGTTGCCCCCTGAGCACCAAGAATACAGAGCATCACTGCCCCAGACATAAGAACATAAGAGGAGCCATGTTGGATCAGGCCGGTGGCCCATCCCGTCCAACACTCTGTGTCACACAGTGGCCAAAACCCAGGGGCCATCGGGAGGTCCACCAATGGGGCCAGAACTCTAGAAGCCCTCCCCCTGTTGCCCCCCCACACACCAGGAATACAGAGCATCACTGCCCCAGACCAGGGAAGTGATTTGCGATTATGCCATGAATTTATCAATAAAAGTGCTTACTGTTATATTATTTTAGCCCTGACCTAGATGGGCCAGACTAACCTGATCTTGTCAGATGTCAGGAAGGTAAGCAGGGCCAGCCCTGGTTAGTACTTGGATGGGAGACCACCTAGGAAGTCCAGGGTTGCTAAACAGAGGCAGGCAATGGCAGAACCACCCCTGAATATCTCTTGCCTTGAAAAGCCTACAGAGTTGCCATAAGTTGACTGTGAGTTGACACTGCTTCACACACACACACACACACACACACACTACATTATTTTAGACGGCTTCCAGCTGCTTACATTAAGTGAGAAAAGGAACAGAAAAGAATTTATTTTTTCATTCATGGAACGAAATAGTGCTTGCAGGAACCCAGGGTTTCCCATGCTGCTGTTGGTACTATTGCTACATCTATCTGATTAGTACTAATGGGAAGAGACACCGGAATTTTGTCCTTTTGCTGAAAGATATACGAATTAGGAAACGAGAAGAGCACTAGCGTACGTTATTTTGTCATGCCACACAGTGCTAGGATAATCTTCCATTTATGTTTCAAAGATAATTCGAAGGAATGGATATTTCCACCATGGCCAAACCCCCCTCCCCGGGGGAGACCAGGTTTACCTATATTTTATGCCTACCTGGAGGGCCTGGAATTCCGGGGGGTCCCATGTCACCTTTTGCACCATCAGATCCAGGAAAGCCAGCATTTCCCTGCACAACACACAAAAAAACCCAGCCCTCAGTTGTGTCACCCAAGCCCCTTTGCAGAGAGATGTAGTGCCAGGTGCACATAGATCCTCTAAATTCAAAAGCAACTAAATGGAGCTATGTTTAGAAGATAAGTTCTGGTCTCTGCTGGGTGGCCTTCAGCCACGCCCGTGCCAGGTGCAAAGGAGATGGAGATCACAGGAGAACGCATGTGCGAGAGGAATCCAAATTCTGCACTTGAAGACATGGCTCTGATGCTTCCCATCTGCTTTGTGAAGTTCATCATCCATGGCAAAGGTGGGCTTTGGCCAGAGGAGCGTGCTCAGCAACAGGGAAGAGGCTCAAAATGGCCATACAGGGAAGGGAGAAGTAGTTCCGAAGGTACAAAAGCTTCGCCACCTGACCCTGATCCACCCAAGGTCCCTTCCAAGCTAACTAGTCTCTAATAAGGAGGAAGAGGAGGAGGAGGAGGAAGAGAAGAAGAGAAGAAGAGGAGGAGGAGGAGGAAGGAGATTGGATTTATACCTCGCTCTTCATTCAGAGTCTCAGAGCCCTTCACAATCTCCCTTCCCCTTTCCACAACAGACACCCAGTGAGGTAGGTGGGGCTAAGAGAGCTCTTTCGAGAACTGCCCTTGCAAGAACAGCTCTGAGAGAACTGTGACTGACCCAAGGTCACATCAGCAGCTGCATGTGGAGGAGTGGGGGAATCAAACCTCCCAGATTACAGTCCGCGCTTTTAACCACTACACCAAACTGGCTCTTGACTACTCTGTGCATAGAATGCTTTTGTGTAAGGTGTGTACCACCTGCACGGTTTCAAGGATGCTGGCCCAGAGTAGAGTATTTATCGTCTGTCGAATATTCATTCTTGAAAAATAATAAAGTTCACCACTATGCAACTCTGCCATAATCTGCTGCTAGGATCAAGAACTCAGTTGTGCCCCTAAAAAAAACCAACTTACGGTGAGTCCTTGAGCTCCTGGGTCACCTTTGGCTCCTGCCCTTCCTGTTGTCCCCGGCCAACCTGGGGTTCCCTTTTCTCCTTTTTCCCCTGACAGTCCAGGAACTCCCGGAGATCCAGGTGGTCCAGGTTGCCCTAAAGAAGGGTGGACAAATGATTACTTACTTACGGGGCTCTTTTTGTAGCAGGAACTCCTTTGCATATTAGGCCACACACCCCTCTAATGTAGCCAATCCCCCAAGAGCCTACAGAGCTCTTCTTACAGGAGCTACTGTAAGCTTGTGGAGGATTGGCTACATTAGGGGTGTGTCGCTTAATATGTAAATGAGTACCTGCTACAAAAAGAGCCTACTTATGTTTATTAGCTTCTATGACCAAAGGTCTTAAGCTCAATTATAAAAGATGAATACACAACGTTAGCCTCATCATACGGACTTTACAATAAAAGTTTACAGTCAAAGTAATCAAATCTAAAAGATCTAAAATGTTAAAACAGAAGTCATTAATAAAACTATAATTCATTTAAATATTCATTTAAATCATAACAAATGGGTGCATACCAAATTCTGTTACCGTTGGGTCAAGACAGATTTTTGTCACTTTACAGATGAAACTATCATTAAAAATTGAGTAACCGAATAAGTGGTTTCAGGATTAGTATCTGCCAATAGATAGGGGACCACCCAGAGTTCAGTAGGTAATCGGTGTTTGGTAAGAACTGGAGTGATCCAAATTGATCTAGGAGTCGACCACTGATGACATAGTAATAGAAGATGGCCAAGTCCACAGCTCCAGTCTCACAGTTACATAAGCGATCCGAGTATGGGACTTTAGAAAAGCGACCTGTTCACTCAGCAGTGGGAAAAGAGTTAAGCCTGGCAAGAGTGAAAACACATCCATAACTAGGTATTTTTAGGGATCTAGTATATGGAGGAAGAGATTCCGGAGGAGGAATGACAAATAATTTATTGGCAACATAAAGATGCGGCATTAGTTAGTTCTGTGGGTTAAAGGACCCAACAGCCCTGAGATACACCAGCATATTGTCCCAGAGAGGTTAACGGTGATTATTTGGGAAGCAAGATGTACCAACTATAATCTTCCACCACAAACAGAGGGGGAATTTAAAATCAAAATGGACAAAATCAACAAATGTTTCTTTTTCCAGGGTTGGCTGTTATATTTATTTTTATTTTTATTTATTTTTTGAGATTTTTATCCCGCCCTACCCGGTGGCTCAGGGCTGCTAACAACAAGTTTAAAAATTGGGTACAATAAAACCATATTTCATAGATAATAAAATCTGGTGCTACAAACGTCTACATAGAATTTACAAAAAAACACAGCTACTTGTTGTTATAAAAACAACAACAATACATGATGTAATTTTAAAAGTCCCCTCTTAGGTTAGACATTTGTTCATAGATGAAGATGGGTAGCCGTGTTAGTCTGCAGCAGTAGAAAAGAATAAGAGTCTGGGAGCACCTTAAAGACTAACAAAACTTGTGGCCGGGTAGGAGCTTTCGTGAGTCACTGCTCACTGCTTCAGATGCAGCTAGAATGTGAGTCCATCTGTCCTATATATTGGAAAGTGGAGTGATTTCAGATGTCAATTAGCAGGCAAATGAGAATAGGAGGTGTGATTGGATTAGGTGGGATACACAGAGAGGTAGCAGGCATGGAGAAATCAGCTTTGGTAATGAGACAGGAAACCTAGGTCTCGATTCAACCCAGGTAGATGCATTGTCTTGAGCTTCGTTATCAGTTGCAATTCAGCAGTCTCTCTTTCTAATCTCCCTTTGAAATTCCTTTGTAAGAAAAGTATTTCAAAGGGAGATTAGAAAGAGAGACTGCTGAATTGCAACTGATAACAAAGCTCAAGACGATGCATCCACCTGGACTGAATCGAGACCTAGGTTTCCTGCCTCATTACCAAGGCTGAGTTCTCTACGTCTGCTACCTCTCTGCATATCACACCTAATCCAATCACACTGCCATTGTCGTTCGCCCGCTAATTGCATTTGCCATCTGAAACCACTCCACTTTCCAATATATAGGACAGATGGACTCACATTCTAGCTTCACTTATTCCTTGTGTACAAAAATGTCTTCAGTCATGATTAGTGCAATGAACAAACTACATTTTCTAGTGCTCTTGTAAACAAATTAAAATTCAGTCTGCTTTAAGAAGGAACTGAACAATGACACGGGGGGGGAGAGAAATGGATGCTGCTGGGCTGAGCAGACAATAAACCTTTACATGTGGTAGTCATTGCCCATTAAATTTCCCCAATCTGGATGTTAACTACAGTTCCCTTACCTTGAATCCCCGGTCGACCTTGAGGCCCCCGGTCTCCCTTAGGTCCTTCCGTGACTCTGCCCGGTAATCCGGGAATGCCCGGCTGGCCTTGGGGACCCTGCGGACCCCCAAATCCTGGTTCCCCTTTTCCACCAGGAATCCCCGGACTTCCTGGGGCTCCCGGGAAGCCCAAGTCTCCTTTTGTACCTAAGATTTAAAACAACACTAATTTTGGTTACATAAACCATGTCTAGAATTTTAAAAAAAGAAAAAGTAGACATGCCATTCCGTAAGGATAAAATTCACGAGGACGACAAAGTAGAGATGTAAAATTTCCAGAAATTTTGAAGCTCCCCTGCACAGAACAAAATACTTTTCATCACTGGTGTTATGCACAGGGTCATTCTGCAGAAGAAGTGGCTCTTCGTTATACATTTCAACTCTGAAGACTCCCACCACTCAGGCACACATCGGACTTCTTTCTGAGAAGAGATGTGTACACTTGTTGTGCGTACTGACACACACACACATTAGTCATGGTGGGTGGGGTGGGGTGGGGGTGTAAGAGCTTGCCGTCAACCATGCTGCTCACTCCCCCCCAAGGGTTGCCAAGTCGTTCTGACTCACTGGCCAGACAGCGTCGATTCGGTCCTGGAGCTGCCGAGGGACGTGTTCGAACACACGCTTTGCGCACGCGTGCGCCAGAACATCACAGCAAGTGACGCACGACGTAGAGTACGTTGGGGCCACGCCCCCAATGTGCTCTATGTGGTTGCGTCACTTCCTGTGACGCACCCACGCTGCGCTTCGGGGGGGGGCGGGGTTCCCCCTGGGGCCCGATTCCGCGGTGGCGGAAATCGGGCCTCCAAAGCGGGGGTTTACCTGCACCCCACCCCCACTTGGCAGCCCTAGCCATCAACCATGCTGCTCACTCCCCCCACACACATGTTCAGCCTCCCCAGAATGTTGTGTGGATCCATGCCACGGTAACTTCAAGTCTAGACTACTGGGTTTGCCCTTGAAGATCCCTTGGACACTCCACCTGATGCAGAATGGAGTATGCCTGATCTAAGTCCCTCGGTTAACAGTTCCTGAGTTCAATTCAAGGTGCCGGTTCTTACCTACAAAACTCTAGGCCTAGGACCTGCTTACATACAGGACTACCTCTCTTGATATGTTTCACTGAGACATCTTTGCTAGTCTGAGCAAAGCCTCCTGAAGGTGCCACCCTAGAAACGGGTAAGAACAGCAGTGCCCTGTACCCAAGCTGTCTCCGTTGTGGCCTCCACCTGATGGAAAGCCCCACTGATAAGGCCAGGAAACTTCCCACATTTCAATCATGTCACAGAATGTATAAAACGAAATCGTTCCAGACGGCATTTGCTTAGAGGGAACAGGGAAGCAGTAAAGCGGAATTCTGCATTTCTGTACAGGGAACAGAGACGGAATTTTAACTGCCTCTGAAACACATCTGAGCAAAGCCTCCTGAAGGTGCCACCCTAGAAACGGGTAAGAACAACAGTGCCCTGTACCCAAGCTGTCTTCGTTGTGGCCTCCACCTGATGGAAAGTCCCGCTGATAAGGCCAGGAAACGTCCCACATTTCAATCATGTCACAAAATGTATAAAACGAAATCGTTCCAGATGGCATTTGTTTAGAGGGAACAGGGAAGCAGTAAAGCGGAATTCTGCATTTCTGTACAGGGAATAGAGACGGAATTTTAGCTGCCTCTGAAACTGTTAGGCAGTTACATCAAAATGTCTGTGCTGTTGCAATCTTGAGTATGCTGTTCAGGTGTGTATCTGTAAGCTGCAAACCTACAATGATGCAGCAGCAGCAGAAATGGAAGAAGAAGCAGAAGACAGCCAGTTCCACTGTGGGCCTGACAGAAGCCCTCCGGGGGCTTGATCTGGCCCCCGGATCGCATGTTTGACACCTCGGCTATATTGCTTACTAGATGTACTACACCCTCTGTAGTTCAGCGTCCTCTAATTGTGAAATCCGGTCTATGCAATGTTATTATACTGCTTCGATTCCACTGTTCTTTCATTTGTAATCTGCCTTGTCAAAATGAGAAAGGCGGATGACAAAGAAAGTAAACTGATCAATAAACAAATGCCGAAAAGGGCCGATCGTGGTTAAAAAGGATGCCCAGAACAGAAGAAACGGGTCTGAAGAAATGCAAGAAAGACAGTTTATTATTCACATCCTGGTGTCTCACTAGGGTTGCCAGCTCCAGGCTGGAGACTCCTGGAGATCTGGGGATGGAGCCTAGAGAGGGCAGGGAGGAACCTCAATGGGGTACAACACCATAGAGTCCACCCTCCAAGGCATCCATTTTCTCCGAGGGAACTGAACACTGTGGTCTGGAGATGAGTTGAAATTCCGGGAGATCCCCAGGTCCCACCTGGAGGCTGGCATCCCGATGTCTCACTCATCAGGAAGACTTCTAGCCTTGCCGGCTCGAGCCCTGAGCACCCCTTACTACCTCTGGTGGCCCGAGTCTATTGCCAGTACAAGGGGTTCTAGATGGGTGCAAGTGTGGCAGCGGGTGTGGTGGGACTGGCAACACGATTCAACTGCTGCTGAGGCGTGTCCAGCAGCCTCTGCTACCAAAGGGCCTTCTGTGGGGGCAGCAGACACAGAGGCCTGCCCATTAAGGCTGCCTGCATCCTCGTCTCTCTTGCTCCTTCTTTCTCCCTTTCTGCTGAACACACCCTAACCCTCTCTCTCTGAAGATGATGCCTTCCAGATTTTGGAGTCCCTGGGCTGTCCCTTTGGACTGCCCTTACTGCCTGACACTTGAATTCATGTCTTCCTGCCTGTTCTCTCTTTTGCCCTTGACATACCTCATGACTATTGCCTTGGTAACTCCACTGGCTTTCAGTGCGCTCCCGCAGGAAATGACCCCTGCCCGAGCCTATTGCTAGTACAAGGGGTTCCAGATGGGTGCACGTGTGGAAGCGGGTGTGGTGGGACTGGCCACACGATTCAACTGCTCCTGAGGCGTGTCCAGCAGCCTCTGCTACCAAAGGGCCTTCTATGGGGGCAGCAGACACAGAGGGCAGCCCTGACCATTACAGCTGCCTGCATCCTCGTCTCCCTTGCCCCTTCTTTCTCCTTTTCTGCTGAACACACCCTAACCCTCTCTCTCTGAAGATGATGCCTTCTGGATTTTGGAGTCCCTGGCCTGTCTCTCTGGACTGCCCTTACTGCCTGACACTTTAATTCATGTCTTCCTGCCTGTTCTCTCCTTTGCCCTTGACCTACCTCCTAACTATTGCCTTGGTAACTCCACTGGCTTTCAGAGAATCATAGAGTTGGAAGGTCATCTAGTCCAACCCACTGCACAACGCAGGGAATTCACAAATACCTCCCCCTCCACACCCGCAGTGACTCCAGAAGATGACAAAGAACCCTCCAGGATCTTCCCGGCCAAACTGGCCTGGAGAAAAATTGCTTCTGTACCTCAAAGTGTCGATCAGCATTTCCCTGGGTGTGTAAGAAAGGACCACAAGAACTAAGCAACTGAGGCAACCTGTCCTGCCCTCCTTCTCATGATCTGCCTAAGTTCACAGAATCAGCATTGCTGTCAGATGGCCATCGAGCCTCTGTTTGAAAACCTCCAGAGGAGAGCCCACCACCTCCCAAGGAAGCCTGTTCCACTGAGAAACCGCTCTGTCAGGAAGTTCTTCCTAATGTTTAGCTGAAAACTCTTTTGAATTAATTTCACCCTGTTGGTTCTGGTCTGACCTTCTGGGGCAACAGAACTAGCCAAGACCCACTTTTGCTCATGCCTTTGCTGCCAGGACTACCCTTTCCAATTCTTGCCAATCAGCAACTTAAAAAAAAAAGAAGTCAATAATTCTGCTTGATGTTCTATCACCCTGGATCTGAAAAGCACACAACACACATCTTCCTGACAGGCAGGTGTGACAAAGTATTTAAAATGTATCCCAATTACAACTTCCTGATAGCATCCATCTAATCAGGAGACCTATATTTCAGATGACCACATGGCTGGCTATTTATTCGGCAATACCGGCTTTACATCCAGTGCTGTTCATATTACCTTTCTCTCCTTTTTCACCTGGGAGACCAGGAAGTCCTCTGCCTGGAAGACCTGCAAAGACAAAGGGAGCCATACTGAGAAAATGCAACAATAATTAGCCCTCATTCACAAATCACGTTATGGGCAATGCTCCCTCTAAGCTGTGGAGTCTTGTGAGCAAAAATTCCACTGTGTGGGCTACTGGCATTAAAGCTGTGAGCGAGCGATTTGGCTACTGCATAAGTTAGTTTGCTCTGGAGCCATCTCTTCCTGAGCTAAGACAAAAATCTGGGAGCTGGAGGCTAAAAACCTGTAAACTAGGCTCACACTATCTCAGTTTAGTGGGAACACTGGTAACGTATGGGCGTCGTGTGCTGTCAAGTTCCTTCCAACCTATGCTGACCCTATGAATTAATTACCTCCAAAATGTCCTATCATAAAAGGCCCTGCTCATGTCTTGCAAACTGAAGGCCATATGGCAATACTCAGGTTATGGGAATTTTATGGTAGTTGGATATTAGGTAGCTACCGTAGTTAGACATTAGATTAAATCTGCTTTTAATGTAATTAATTAATTAATTGATTGATTTGATTTTTGCCCCGCCTTCCCTGCCGAGGCAGGCTCAGGGCGGCTGACGCGAGAGAACAACAGATGAAACAACAGTACAAATAACAATATGAAACACAATATAAAACCTGTGTTTTTAAAAAACAATTTTGGAATATTGTAAAGGTGTACTTTTTTTGTATGACGGGTCTAAGGGCCGTAACAATAAACTGAACTGAACTGAAACTGAAGGCCACGGCTTCCTTTGATTGAGTCAATCCATCTCATGTTGGGTCTTCCTCTCTTCCTGCTGCCTTCTACTTTTCCCAGCATGATTGTCTTTTCCAGTGAGTCTTGTCGTACTGGATGGCCTGTTTAGTCAGTTTAGTCTTGCAGGAAATGCCAAAGTCTGGATGACTGGAAATACACCGCTACCCTAGAACTGCCATCCAAAACATTTCAGCAGAACTATATGAAAGCCACCTGGAGTTCCACAATGGAAAAAGGTGGGATACACAAACAGGTATTTGGCTCAGGTGTTGGGAGAGTGTGGCTTGCACTAAGAGCACGTCCGAGAAGGTTAAGTGTACTGAACTGCCCCCGTAGTTAGCGCTGCTTGTCTAGATACCTTCCCATTGATTTCCTTGAATAACCTTCCACTCTTTTCAATAATGACAGGGCCAATCCTTGTGCATGTATGTAACTTTTCAATGGTGTTGAGAATTTGTAGGAAATCTATGGGAACTAACTGGTATGGGTGTTCAGTCACTCAGTTACGGTGTTCAGTCAGTGTTTAATTACTATAACAACATCTTATATACAAGAAGATGGAAGGAAGGGGATGGCTTACCTGCGTCACCCTTTACACCAGGGGAGCCTGGGATGCCATCATAGCCAGCCTGTCCTTTTTCTCCAGGGGTCCCAGGAAAACCCTGGCGCCCAATGTCACCTGCAAAGGATCGAGATTTTTGTCACTGAGCTTTCCGCACTTCTCTTGGTGTCCAGTTAACAGGACACTCTCACCGCCTTTAATTTAAAATGCAGTTAAGTGGTTAAAATGCAGTTAAGTGGTTAAGACGCTGAACTGCAGGCTGTGGAAGGTCGGTAGTTCAGCAGCTCGAGACCCGAGTGTGCCGCATGACGGAGTAAGCTCCTGTCTCTAGTTCCAGCTCCTGCCAACCTAGCAGTTCGAAAGCAAGAAATTGCAAGTAGATAAATAGGTACCACTTCGGTGGGAAGGTAACAGCGTTCCGTGTGCCTTGGTGTTTAGTCATGCCGGCCACATGACCACGGAAACGTCTTCGGACAGCGCTGGCTCTTCGGCTTTGAAACGGAGATGAGCACCGCAACCCTAGAGTCGGACTCGACTGGCTTTCGAGCAAGGGAAACCTTTACCTTTACCTTTATTTATAGGCAGCCATTGTGAGGACTCCTGAATTCATGCTACATATGTGAAGGACAGGTTGGATATCTCCACTTCTGTAAAAAATCAGCTCAGCGTGTAACAGAAGGCAATCCTGGGTTCCCCTCAGAATGTTTATAATGAATAAGAAGCAGCTATGTCTTGTTGATTAAAAATTAACAACAACAACAACAATAATAATAGTAATATAACTATATCCCACTTGAGTGAAAAAAAGTCCTGGGAGAAGGCAGAATGTATTTTTTTACATTTCATGTAACTAAGCAGACATGAAGTTGGTTCCCATAAGGTGCAGTATAATGCCTTAGACTTTGGAATCCAGTTGTGAGCAAAGTATGAATTCTAAAAGGATAACTGCA